CGCAAGAGGTACATCCGCTGTAAAGGGCGCAGGCACAGCGCGATTCAACACAGCAATGTCGGGGTCATGAGATCCTCGAATAATCCATCTCGATCTAGCGTCGTAGTTCTTGGGGGGCAACAGAATGATTGGGCTTGTTGTCGTAGTCGGTCCCCTTATCTTTCCACTTGTCGTGCCAACGAGAAGGAATTGTACGTTTGGGGCATGTGCGGAGATTTCTGCAGCAGCAGTTCCTCGGTGAATGCGCGCTGCTTTGGTGCCGTCAGGTTCTGCGGCGCATATCTCAAACCACTCTGGGTGGCGGCTGCAAGTTGGCCCAAGAAACCGCTGTTTAAGATGATCAGTTCACGGATTAATGTTGATTTCATCCTCTGAACGCTTTCTCTCGATGGAGAATGATCTCGAAGTGGTGAGGTTAGCCGCTTCTGACTGGCAGGCCGCGTAGATGTTGTCCAGGTCGGGAGTCCTGTGCGCCCCCAACAAATCATATGTTGCCTAAACAGCACGACTGCTGTCCACGAAGTAGGTGACCAGTTCGCCTGAAGAGTCCGCAGATGGAAACGTAGAGGGTGCTATCGTACTTGGCGCTGGCGGCGGCAAGTAGGAAGCCGCATTCGCGGGCCACGGCGCGCCTTAGCCGCGCGCGGCTGCGCTGGAGGTCCCCCCCGGCGCATCCGCCACAGAGGGCTGTCGCGATCCCGGCTCGCTCTTCGGTTCAGCAGATGACGCGGTGCCCAACCGACGTCGCACTTGTCAAGCATCACTTTGAAGTGCTGTACGTACCAAATCAGGTTCATCGTAGTTTTCCGCCATTGGATGTATTACGAATTCTTCTGGTTGTGGCGGTGGTGGCTCACGATCTGCGTCAACGTCTGAATCGTCGAGAACCTCATCGGCCTCTGCTGCTTCAGGGTCGCGTAGAGGTTCGTCTCCAGGAAATATGGGGTTGCCTTCTCTAGTAACGTCGAAATAACGACGAGCGCCACGCGTGCGCTCGAGGTCAATCTTGAGGTCGTGAAGATAGCGATCGACCATCTCGATGCCTCTACTGTCATCCTGAGTGGCACTCCGCAGTTGTTCATTTGCCACGCGCCACAACGCTCCACGCATGTCGATCCAGGCTCCAGAAGTGGGTGGAATAATCGCACCAGTCCCAAACCATCTCCCCGAGCCCACTCGCCCGTCTCCATGCAAAGAAGAAGTTGGCCTTCTGTGAAGGTTGGGGGCGTACGATGTCGTGCGCGGAGGACTCGGAGTAGCCGCGTTCGACTATCCATGGCAGTCCAAGCTTTCATAGGGGTTCGGCGCAGGGCTTCAGTTCGGTGGAACTCTTGCACCGGATCAGTAGACAAGCACTCGGGATCATCGGAAAGCAGCGTCGCCGGTAAGCGTTGCGTAGAACCGAAAACCCGCGTCATAGGCGAACACCCACTCCGATTCTGGTAACGGTTCCGGACAGAGCAACAACTCCCCCATAGCAGACCACTCAGCTAGACTATCCGGAGCTGCTTCATGAACGGAGCCATGCCGCTCCGAGGCGAGGTCGATCGGGGAGGCCGCGTCCCCGCTGGCCTCAGGAGGTCAGGGGAGCAGCACCGGCTGGAGGCGACTCGGCGACGCTGCAGCGCGGTTCGAAGCAAGGCAAAGCAGAGCAAGGCAACGTCGGGGGACATCCCCCAACGGGGGCGCACTGGGGCGACCACGGGGGGGGGGGGGGGGGCATCCCCCAGAGGCTCTGCGCCAAACGCCCCAGGAGGACACCCCAAGGCAAGGCCGCTCTATGGCCACAGGCCCCCCTGCACATGAGAAGCCAGGATCGCCGAGGCGAAGCCGAAGAAATTGTGGGAAACTGCGACGTCGGGCGTCTGGAAAAGCTCAGTAAGCATCAGGAAAGGCGATACCACTACAACTGCGAGGCGCCAGGGAAGGTCGTCCTAGTGCGTAGTGGCGTGGTCCCCTCCTCTCGCTCGAGATCCTGGTGGTGTGGTCCCCCCCTCGCTCGAGACATCCCCTATCCCCAGCTCGGGGAGGCATCGTGGACCCCCTCGCTGTAGGTGGCCCTGGTGGTGGTGGTGGTGGTGGTGGTGGTGGTGGTGGTGGTGGTGGTGGTGGTGCTGGTGGTGGTGGTGGTGGTGGTGGTGGTGCTGGTGGTGGTGGTGGTGTAGTGGTGGTGTCGCCTTTCCGTCCCCCGAGCTCAGGACTGGGGTCGACTCCTCCCTCAAGCCCGCATCGGCCGCCCCCGGCCGCTTCGTCGCGGGTCCGCCCAGGACTCGCGCTTCTCGGTGGCGTTCCCCGGGTCCTGGGGGAGGGTCCCCACGGAAGGCCACTACCCTTGGAGAACAGGTCGATGCAAGGCGAGGCTGAAGGGGAACGCCAGGAAGTAACTGGCTCAAGGGGGAGACATCGAGCTGGAATCGGCGATACATCCGCCGGTGGATCGGCGATAGTCGGGGGCGCGCAAACATGGATCGGGGGAGGTGCCCTCCCCAAAATGCGGCCGGTGCCGGCCCGGTCGGCGGTGGAAATACGCGATTTCCCATGGAAGCGGGACCCGTCGCTAATCCACGCCCCTTTGATCCATGCTTGCGATCGCCTGAGATAACTAGACCCCCGGTAGCGAAACAGCAAGTCCCTAGGCAGGGTAGGCTATCGGACCACTATCGGCGATGGATGGGCAACTGGGGGTCGACGCCTCGCCCCCTGAGCCTGTCCCCCCTCTGAACGTTGCCCCTGAGATGCAAGACGAGGGTTGAAGGGGGATGTTCACACAGGAAGCGTGGAATCCAGTACATCTACGTAGGATCTAGGAGACAAGCTGGCTGTACAGATGCCGTGGGCGTTGCGGCGGCGAGAGAACCTCCGGGCCGCATCTTTGTCCCCCGTCCGCCCGACGGCACCCGGCGATTCATCACTGAAATATGATTTGCTGGCGCTGTCAGCACTCGAGCGGCCCGTGCAGAACATCACAAGCAAGCTCGCAGCTTCTTCGCTGCTGGAAGCAACGCGAGATGGGGCGCATGGAACACCGTTACCTCTCATCCCTGTGTCCTCATCTGTCCCCATCCCTCCGTCTCATCCCCGTTGCCCGTCCAACCTCACCATTCCTCCTCACATCCACCCAATACGCGTATTCCTCTCCTCCCTCCACTGATACTGTGCTGGTTTGTCGCCACCTCTCACAGAATGCCTCTTTATACGCAGGGCTCCAGACATCGTCTTTTCTGCCTTCTTTCTTTCCACCTGATCATTCTCGGTCCTTCAAGACAGGTGATCCCGCTGCAGCGTCGGTGACAATCCAGGAGCGATGCTCTGCCCCCGTCGTTCCAACATGGCGCTCTCGCCCCAGCGCGGATCGCACTTCTGGATCCGATGGCCTTCCATCGGCGGCGAGCGAGGGGGGGAAAAGTGTGAAGGAGAAGGCCTTCTCAGAAGGCGGCGGGGCCCCTCAGGAGCACTCGTCTTGGGGAAGGCTTAGAAACCCTCGCAGAAGGCCGAAGGACTTCCGAGCCTTCTGAAAAAGGCCTCCGCCTTCTCGCTGCCCCCCCCCTCCCCGGCTCGCCGCCGATTGCTCGCCGTTGCCGCCCTCCCCCGCTCACCGCCTTCGCCTTCCGCGGATCCATCCTGCTCCTCCTCCTCCTGCTGCTGTTCCTCCTGCTCCTGCTGCACCTGATCGGCCTCCTCGGCTGCACGCAAGAGTGACGCTAGGCAAGAGTGGCGGTGCGCGGCTTTTGGGGGACGCGAGGGGGCCAAACCCCAGCGCGCAGGCCGCTGCTATCGCGTCGCATTCAGCGAATCGATCGGGGGGGCCTAGTGTCAGGGAGCACTAAGCCGGGTAACGCCTAAACGGAGTAATAGACCCATCATGGGATCCAGGTGGAAAAACTGCAACGGCCAGAACAAAAAAATGCACTGCATTTTTCTGCAACGCAAAAAAACCTGCACTGCAATTTGTTGGCAACTAGTTGCGGACAAACTGCAAACAAGCCCCACAGACCAGGTAACAGAGAGCCCAAAACAAAAAGTTGCAGTGCAGCAGCTGAAAATGTGCAACGCAGCCAGCATGTGGAGGTGCTGCATCGAACGCGAAAGCAAAACCAAACTGCACTGCAACAGAAGGGCCATTTGATGCCTCGAACAGGCCGTTTCATGCTACCCCGTCTGCTGTTACCCCGTCTCTGGCTCCCTGATAGTGAGCCCGCACGAAAGGTCACTCCGGCGAATGGTCACTCTTACGTGTAGTCGACATTCCTCTTCCTATTCCTCCTGCGCGTCCTCTTGCTCATCCGCCACATCCCCCTCCCATGTACAAAGCCCGTCTTTCTGATTGCGCATCTCCACACACTGGGGCAATTTGGCAAATCAAGGTCCTCTAGGAGACCCCACGGATGCAAAATAATTCAGCGCATTAGGAACAAACGGGTAAGAGGTGTAGAATTCGAGATACGGTGCGAACGCACCTAGCTTGCATCATGATCCTTTCTCGTCTCTCTTCATCATCCTCCTCGCCTCCCCTCGCCATCCCATCCTTCTGCTCCATTCTCGCCATTCGCCCCCTTCTGCCTACATCGCCCCTTTCCCGTGTCAGCGTTAACCTGATCCCGTTGTTGACCAAGCCCTCCTATTTTCCCTCCGTTCCATCAATCAACGCTCCATTGAACATCTTCCTTCCGAGACCGTCCTCCTCGCCCGTGCTCTCGCCCCCGCTGTCCGCTTCCCGCTTCTTCTCATTCTCGTTCTCCTCCTCCTCCTCCTCGTCCTCCTCCTCCTCCTCCTCCTCGTCCTCCTCCTCCTCCTCCTCCTCGTCCTCCTCCTCCTCCTCCTCCCTCCTCCTCCTCCTCCTCCTCCTCCTCCTCCTCCTCCTCCTCCTCCTCCCCTCCCCCCCTCCTCCCCCTCCTCCTCCCTCCTGCTCCTCCCCCTCCTCCTCCTCCTCCTCCCTCCTCTCCTCCTCCCCTCCTCCTCCTCCTCCTCCTCCTTTTCTGCTCCTCCCCGTTCGCTCGCTCGACCTCGCTGCTCCGGTCTTGGCGCTCCTTCTTCTTGACGACCCACTGCATGCGCTGCATGGCCCCCGCGGCCGCGGGGAGGGCCCGCCCGCGTCCTTTTGATCCCGGGGAGGCCGCGGGGAGGGGGTGGAGGCACAGGGCGGGGCGCATGCCGCTCTCCTCGGCTGCGCGCACCACGAGGGGCGCACTCCCCCCCCCTCCTTCTCCTCCTTCTGCCTGGCGGAGGAGGAGGGGGGGGGAGGAGGAGGAGCAGGAGGAGGAGGAGGAGGAGGAGGAGGAGGAGGAGGAGGAGGAGGAGCAGGAGGAGGAGGAGGGAGGAGGAGGAGGAGGAGGAGGAGGAGGAGGAGTGGGAGGGGGAGGGGGAGGAGGAGGAGGAGAGGAGGAGGAGGAGGAGGAGGAGGCGAAGGAGGGGGAGGAGGAGGAGGAGGAGAAGGAGGAGGAGGAGGAGGAGGAGGAGGAGGAGGAGCACGAGGAGGAGCACGAGGAGGAGGAGGAGGAGGAGGACTCCTAACTCTCCTTTTCCTCCTCCTCCTCCCCCCTGGCTGGTCGGCTTCATGCAAGAGTGACCCCAGGCAAGAGCGACCTTTGGTGCGCCGCCTTCAGTGGGCCGCGGGGGTGCGGAGGACAAAAAACTACGGGCATCGCTACTCCCCGGACCTCTCCCGGGGTGCGCTCTGACCAGAATTTCGAGGAGAATCCAGCAATGGCGACGATGGTGGACTCCCCGATGAGCAGCGGTATCGGTATTTGTTTCATGGGTGGGCAACTCCAAGCGCGTCAGCCTCCAAAGGTCACTCAGGCGAGGGGTCACTCGTCCGCGCAGCCAAGCTCACCCCTGGCTCTGCTCCTTCGTGGCCCCGCCCGCCCCGGATCCCGCGGGGATGAGTGGAACGGGAGGGGAAGGACAGGAGGATTGACCTGGGCCTCGGGAGCCCTCAGCAGGAGACCTGGCACGCGGGGAAAACGTCGGGGGGTCTGGCCAGGGAACGTTCGTTCACAACGCATGATGAGGCGCAAGGGCACCAAGTCTGCGACAGCGGGGAGCACGAGGGCCCAGAGCCCCTGCAGGGATCCAGATCTGGCCACAAGCAGCGTGGCCCCCCACAACGCCAACCATGGCATTCTTGAGTGATCCCAATCGATCGGAAGGTTGGCCAGCGCCTAGACAGTCTCCTCTAAGTGGGGTCAAACAAGATTCGGAAGCCGGTCTGCTGCCATCTCCGCTGTACCGGCACGGCGCCCTGGTGGAATCTCGAGAGGCTCGGCTGTTGTGAGAATCCTCCTCTTACCGACGAAATTAGATATTTCCTAAGCCATGTCCCTCCCAAACCTAGGCCGTCATCGTGGAGGAGGTGTCCATGGTGCCGCCCGCGCTTCTCAAAGAGGCCTCTCACACCTGATGTTCCCCTGTCTCATCCTCCGAATTCTCCCCTGCCCTCCGCATTCCCCTTCGTTGTCTCCCTTCGACGCTTCCGTCCTCCTCCTCCTCCCCCTCCTCCTCCTCTTTGACCTTGAACGAACTCTAAACTCTTCATCCTCGTCGTCCTCCCCCTGGGAAAACGCACGAATCTTCCGGGGGGGGGGGGCGGGATCCGAGTCGGGAGGGCGCCAGCTTGCCGCCCGCCCAGCCAGGCCCTGGCCAGGCCAGGCCCCGAGGCGCATCCACTGGTCCCGGGCCTGGCGAAGCTCGGTGCAGGTGCGGACTACCTACCAGACCACCCCAACCTAACCTTAGGTCGGGCCTGTCCCCCTACAGCGGGATTTTGGACGAAAAATTCAAAATAGTCACAACAAAAAAACCAAACATGGTCAAACAATATTGAAAAACAAAATCGTCCCCAGACTATGTTTTACTATGTTTGCATATTCCTCCTGTAGAGGGACGTGCCCGACTTGAACTTAACCCGACGACCCGAATTTCGGTTTTTTGGGGGGGGGTCGGGTTCCGCATGTGTTATTTTTCACTGTTCCCCGACGCCCCCCCCACTGGGAGTGGAAAGCAAATTGGGACCTTCGGGTTGGGTTGGGGTGGTTTGGTGGGTGGTGAGGTGAAGAGCGAAACAAAGAAAAACCCATGTGTTGCCGCGCCGTTTGTTCTCGGCGCGCCCAGGTGGACGACGCCGGCACCACGGCAAACCCGCGGCAAACGAGGCGTCCCGCGCCCCAGGTAGACGAAGCCAGCACCGCGGCGAGCCCCACGGCAAAGCTTGCGTCCGAAGCGGAGTTTGCCATGGTGGCCGAGGCACCCTCCCAAAGACGGAAAGCCGCGCGTCGAAACAAACGGCGCGGCGACATATATAATGAACTTGGTTTTGTTTTGCATAGCGCGGTGCCCCCCCCAGGGCAGTCAAACGCCAGTGGCACTGGAGGTCGCACCAACGGGACAAGCGAATACCGCTCGCTCCATGGCGACACAAAGGCCCAGAGACGCGTGCTGCAAGGCCAGAAGGCGGAGTTCAAGCCGTTCGCCACCTCCCGAATGCTGGGCCCCGGGCGTTCGCGGCACCCGCCGGGAGCGCCTGGTCGACGACGACGTGCCCCGAAAAAACTCAGACCCTTGAAAAACAGGAGGGGTCAAATATCACTCCAGACGGGGTGGGGGCCCAGTCGGCCCCGCCCGATCTGGCCCTCAACAGTCGCCAACAAGGCCAGGCGCCCGACCCAGGGGCAAGTGAAACCTCGGGCCCGGGCCGCTCGGCGACGCTCGCTCCCCGCGCTGTTCAATATTGAACTGACAGCGCTTGCGGCGGCAACCGCGCTGCCAAAGCGCCCCGCCGCAGGGGTCGTTCGGCCGCCCGCGCCAGGGCGTCCAGCTCTGCAAATGAAAACGCTTTGGCACGAAAACACATATAATTCTGTCGGGCCCCAGCGGGGTCTGCTCGGCCGTCGTCGCGTTTGCGGGGGCGCCTTGCGCGGCGCCAGCATTAGACCTAAAATTCTCGCGGCGGCGACCGCGTTGCCAGAGCGCCCCGCTGCAGAGGTCGTTCGGCCGCCCGCGCCAGGGCGCCCAGCTCCGCAAATGAAAACAATTTGGCGCGCAAACACAGATAATGTCCCCAGCCCCTTGCGGCGCCCCGAAGGCACTTCCAAGCGCCTTCGGCGCGCGCGCCGCGCATTCTTGTTCGGCGCCGCCTTTGCGCGGTGCCAGCGTTGAACTGGCAGTTTTTGCAGCGGCATCCGCGCTGCCAGGGCGCCCCGCTGCAGGGGCCGCTCGGCCGTCCGCGCCAAGGCGCCCAGCTCCACAGAGGAACTCAATGTGGCACGCAAGCGCCGATAATTTTGTCGGGCCCCAGCGGGGTCTCCTCTGCCGTCGTCGCGATTGCGGGCGCACCTTTGCGAGGTGCCAGCGCGACGTCGGCTGACGCTGCGACGGCCGATGTGAGCCGCGACCGAAATTTCATCCCAGCAACCTGCCCCCGGAGAAAAAACGATGATGTCACGCAGGCCCTGGCCCTCGGAAAAAAAAAGGCATGGCCTTATTTTGAACCAGTTTTTCTTGCGAGCTCACATCACCTGGGCCCCTGGCGCGGGAGGAAGCGAAGCACCCGGCGGCGCCCCCAGCCGAGGGAAGCCGGGCTGCGGCGGGAAATCGGCGGCGAACTGAACGCGGCCAGCGCGAGCGGTCTTCACGCAGTCGGCTCGCGGACCCAAAGGAGACCGCAGCGGGGCGGAGGGGGCGGGAAGGCGGACGGCGGCGGCGGGCTCATCCGGAACGCGAGTCAGAGTTCGGCCGGCGCTGAAAACCAAAGTTAACTCAAGTTCAGCAGTTCCTCGAGTGCGCATTACAGCGGTGACTCAGCGCGCGGGGGGGCCCACGCGCTCCTATAAAACGGACGTATCCCTGTGGCCAGAAGCGGCTGAACCCCGCAAAACTTTGGGGGCTACCATCAAAAAGCCGAGGCAGGCGGGAAACCGTAGTTCAAGCAGAAATAAAGCGGCCAGCACTCTCGGGTTCAGGTCACAACACCGAAGACCAGGAGACCCCAGGCCCAGCGACAAAGGCGGAAAACACTCCCGACAAATGGGGGGACAGCAAAACACTACCGACTTGTCCTGGGGGCCGCCCCGATCAACCTCAGGACGCCGGCATTCAGACTAAAGGAAGAGATGAGGCGAGGAGGGGGATGGGATCCCGCCACCTGCGGCGAAACAACTTGAGAATTCGACTGCGTTGGCGACTCCCTCTTGCTACCTCCCTGGCCTAACGAACTCCCAGACGAGCGGGTAGCTGCCGAAGGTATTCTGGGGGTCGGTGGCAACGAGACGGCTTGTCTCTGCGAGGCCGCAGGCTGACGGGTAGGAATGCAGGGAGCACGCGTCAGCGGGCATGTCGATGTCGCAATCGGACCCGCCATGCCACTCTGAGCCGCCGTCAAAGTCGCAGAAGCCCCAGGAGCTGCCATCTGTGATGAAGAGCTGCCGCACTGCGGCGCGGCCGTTGCGGTGGAACTTACAGCGCGTCTGCGTTGCCCAGTGTCCAGGAACATGTGCATCAGGCGCTCCTGGTGCGAGCGAGGCGGCGTCCCTTTCATGATTGCGCCTCCTAGCTGCTTCAAGGAGTCGAGCTACTGCGACTGCGCGCCTGAGGCGTGCGCTTCGAGGTGAAAATGCATCAGCTTACGGTCGTGCGTGCGCGAGACCCGACAGTGGCGAATCTGCATGCGTAGCGTCTCGCTCGCGACTGTCGCGTCGCCCTTGGTGCCGTCGAGGAACTGCTTCAGCGCCCGGTGGTTGGCCGCGCCCACGCGCTCGCCCTGCTGCACCACTCCGCCGACAAGTGCGAAGTGTGGGTGAGGCACTCCGAGCTCCTCTAGAAGTCCTCCACTGGCTGCTGGTCGCGGAGCTCTGGGGCGCGGTCGCTCGTCTACCTAGCACTTCGCGGTGATCCGCGTCGCCTTGCACGCTGCGTGGTCCAGATCCAGGTGGATGATGCGGTAGATTGCGGCTTCGAGCGCCGCCGGCCCCCGCGAGTTAGTTCTCGGGCGCCGCGCGGACCATCGCTGGGAAGATGGCCTGGATGAGCTCGACTGGGAACGCCTCGTCGCCAAGGCCCATCACGCCCGACCGCTGGAGACCGCGCGCCACCTCGGCGTTCCAT